GGACCCCCCGAAAAACATTGCCATGGCCCTCTCCACATGGCGCCGAACTCGGGCACCTTCAGATTTATCAAGATTCGACATTCTAATACTACTTCTCCCTTGTTGCAGCTATGCTTGGTGCAGAACTTCGTTCATGAAATATGATTCAAGTACACACCATCAGAGTTTTACGGTGATGTGCTGAGAATCCATCTGATTTGAGTCATCATTTTCTGACGATGATGATGATGATGATGGTGGTGATGATGATGAGAATGATGATGATATAGTTGAGCTTAGGCTAGACTTCTGAAAACGGGAACTCTGCTTTGCTCGATCTTGGAAGTTCCTGCCAACAATCTGTTCATAAGTTGTTCGACCCACCATTGAATTTGGTTCATGAAATGTTGGCTTCATGTGAGTTGGGGCTCATCCAAGGATGATTTGTTTCCTTAGTCTTTCTCTTGCCGTATGATTTGTTATTGTTTTTGTTTGATCTCTTTTTCTTGGCTACACCAAGACTGGCACGCGAACAATGGCAGCCAGAAATGAGGAAGTCATGATCCGGCAAACTGTGGCTCCGACTCATGATGCGTTGTGGTGTTGTTTTCCCTTGTATATATAACCTGCAACCCAGAATAGTTTGCCCTTGTATTTGCACCACCATCTTGACATCTTGAAAATAAATATCCAGGAGTCACAAAGGGGTGGTGTTTGGTCCCCAAGTGAGTGGATAATGGGCACACCTAACCTCCATTAAGCACCCCTTTGTGACTGCTGGTAGTTTGATTTCGCGCAATCCCCAATACTATCCAATATATTCAAAAAGACTGAAGTGTAAATGTCGATAGCATACCATGAATTAGAAAGGGGTTGTGACAGGGGCACCCCTATCCTCCAAGTTCGGCACCCCGGCATAGAACTAGGGGTGCCTCACTGATGTCTTGACAACTTGTGCCTGTTCATCTTGAGTGACGCTGATCGACTCCTCCACGCCCACCGCACCTGGCTCCCACCAGGCGCAGTTGGTGGTCATGGGACCATGTCAGGCGAACAGAGATCGATGGAATCTTCGACCTCGACCATTGGATACAGGGTAGGATATGGGTGTCCCCCATTCAATCACCTGGAAGTGGAGTGACAATCCCCTGTTCGTAAAGGATCAACGGGACCATGCCATCCACTTCCATGGTCGTGAGTCTGAGTGCAAGTGTTGGCTATAGGCTATGGATATATACAGTACCGTAGGTGGTCCAGCTGCCATCGCGAACGGATGGTTTTTGGTGAGGCAACCACAGCGACATCGATGTTTTCCTGTGTTTGCTAAGGGGCTCGCAGGTCAAAAAACACGCGAGTGATGAGATCGGGTGCAGATATTTCAATCTGGCAACAACGAGGGTTGGCACGTGGGCGGCAGATTGTGTGGAGCTGAATATATTTTTGCGGGTTGGTTCAGGTTAGGTCATGGAGAGAGAAGTGAGTGTAGCTTGAGGCTGATCACAGTTGTCATTCTGAAGAAGGTGCTCATAAAGAACAAGAAGACATAAGAGATTGGAGGCGTTGGAGGGTCCTATCACAAGACACAAGTTATGCTGACATTGAAGCTTGTTTGCAGTACCCGCAGTACCTGCTATAATCTGCTATATATTATTCTAATTGCACTGCAGGGTTGCAATGTACATAATATTTTTAATACTACATTATATATTCAAATATATTCATGTCGGTCCTTCTTTTGCTTGAGGATGCTATTTTGGAGAAGAACCCTTGACCTTGGAGTTTGGGGATCTCCTGCTACCTCCTTCTCTCTTTAGTGCTTTTATTCAGTGTGCAGGCGGTGCAAGGGGTGTTTGTGCATCTACCGAGCTGCTGAACCGGAGCATCCAGTTCTTCCCCAGCTCGGACCTCACGAGACCCACCCGCTGGGCATCGCTCGGTTCCGTGGCCGAACGAAGGCCACGCGTTCGCTCACGGTGACGTCGGCTTCAGGTGGGAAAGACCTCCTTGACCGCCAGGGGCGCCCGGGAGAACTGACCAAAGCGATGAAAGGAACCAGCGAACCACCGGTTTCGCACCACGCGCAGACCGCGGTTTTGCAGAGTGAATTGGTCCTTCTAAAGATTGGTAGCATGATTCATTTCATTGCAGTGGCACCGGGTTTGAAGACTCCAAGTACCGATCTCCATGCAGCAAATGAATTTCGGCTGAACCAGGGCCTGGATGGATGTCTAGAACCAGATCGGTGTGTCAGTGTGAAAGACCCAGAAGTTCCGCCTCTCGTGCCCTTTTGTCCCTAAAGTTCCAACCAGAGTCCGCTGCAGAGATGCCGTGAGTGCGTCAAAGACCACTGCGCTTGGCGACTGCAGTGAGGACCATCCTTTCTCGTTGAACCCGTGTGATCACCCATCGAGAAACACACCAATTGCTGTACTTGTTGTGAAAGGAACGACGCGGGCATGTTCATGGGTTTGTTCCACTGCAAATGGTGTTGTTTGTTCCCACTATCATCTACACACCATCGTTGCAATCAATTCCTTTCCTCCACCATTTTCTACACACCATTTTCGACGTCGATTCGATCCAATCATTCACTTCCAACACTCTCGGATCCCTCATGATCCCGAGGGATCCGGCTCACCCCAACAAATAATTCATTCCCCAAAAACATCCCGACCTCCAGTCATACCTCCTCAGTGCTTGTATTCTGCACCCTGCGCCGCCCCCGACCCACCTTCGGAACGAGTCCGGTGCGACCGGAGCCCGTTTGGGATCCGTTTGGAGGACCCCCAGCTGGGACCGGAAGAAACCATTTCCGGGTCTTCGTGCCCCGACGGTCGCCCAGTACGCCTTGGTGGGTTTCCCCGCGCTGCCGCCGGCGGTACCCTCGATGGTGACGGTGAAATGGGTCGGGACACTCGGCCGTGATGGGTCGGTCGGATGGGAGGAGGAGGTTTGGATCGGTTTGAAGTGGAAACAACATCCAGGACCTTCAGTTCATGACCTCCAAATGGAGTCTCTGTGTGTGACCTCTTCAGGGATTCGTGACCAAAGATCCTGGGATCTCAAGGTTGGTCCTGGATGATGGACAAGTGAATCTCTTCATCTTCAAAAGATGTGTGACCTGTGTGCGGATCGATGTTTTTCGAAGATAGCTTCAGAGTGTCAACATGTCAACTTCAGGAGGGGCAGCAAGAGCCAAAGCCAGATCAAAAACTATAGGCCCTATTTAGGCCCTCTTTGCGAAGGTCAGTGGACATATCGGTGTTCGACATAACGGTTACGCCGTGCATGGTGGGCCGGTTTCCCGATCTCTTCTCGATCGTATTGCGACTCAGCGACTCAGCGACTCGCCCATGCCTATTGAAGAGAAGGTGGTATCGGTTCTCCACCAAAAGAACATGTTTGTTAGCTGAAATTTTCGACGAAGGTGGAAGTCAGAATTGTCCTCAAGCGGTTGGCGATTCTCCCATATTCTCCCTCACAACATCTCAGGACCAAGTATGAGGCCCCGACTTAGGTTCCTTTGACCTTTCTGCTGTATTATACGTGCATGGAGTAGAATGGAGCTACTTTCCACTTATGAAAGGGTATCATGAGGGAGGAGTGAAATGGCGTGAAATGGTATGGGTCAAAGTATTCTCCTTACCCGCCGACTGTCGACGTCGCGCCTTTCGCATTTTGAGTGACTTGCTTGGCACAACCCGCAATCCATACACAATTTATGAACATGTTAGTTAGTTCTGTTTCGAGACACACAGTGTCATGAAAGATCATAAATGTCCCCATGACACTGATACACATTGTATACACGTTCCTTTGTTTTTTTGCTTGTGTGATGACGCGTTCAAGTGTAGTACTTTCTGGCCTAGAATCTTTGGGGCCCAGTCTGCCAGTCTCATCGAAAGTTGGAACCAAGACATCAACACCCTGAATTGTGGATACTTCGCCTTCGCATCGACATGTTCCACGGGATTACGCTGGCGAGCACATGTGAACACCAACTTCCGGTGCACACGAGAAAAAAAACTGGGGCTCGATGGGCCAATTTGAATTGCAAAACTCCGGCATACAGAATCTATAAAATCCCTACCCCCTCAGGTACCATTTTGGAGGGGGGGACCTAAAAAGATGTAACTTACAATTTTCGAGGGACCCCATAAATTTATGTTGACCACCGCCCTCGTTTTTGGCCCTACTGAATGAAGTAGAGGCCATATTCATGGCCACTCCCCCCCGGGATTTTTGCTAGGTGTTGCTTGCGTGTTCCTGGGAATTCACCAGGAAATGAGGAGGTGGCTGGCATGTGTCAGCATGCAATTTAAGCGGGCGGGGGCTGGAGAAAATGTAACTTCCCACGTCCCACGTCCTAAGTTACATCTTCTTGACCCCCATTAAAAACGAGAACATACATAAGAAGATGTAAGATTCATTGTGAAAACGATGCCCAAAACAATGATGGCACCTTGTCTTGGAAGCTTCCCATGGCTCCTTCTATTGTATTTCTATGATTCTATGGTTTTCTGGTGGCCTAACCCAAGACAGCTTACATTTTCCTGGGTTTAGTGGCTGTATAAAAGCATGCACAAGATACATGACTGAACTTTCTTGGGCCCTCCTAGTGTATTTCTATGGTTTCCAGGAGACCTAACCCAAAGCAACTTACATTTTTTTAGGAGGTGGGCAGCTGTAGGCTGGGGATTGGGAAAGGCGGCTGGGGATTGGAGCTTGTTTTTCTGTTTTCGAGGGTGATCTGAAACAAATGTAGGTTACAATTTTTAAGGGGCTCATAAAGACACATGTAGCCTACATTTGTTTTACGTTTACCTGAAAACAGCTTACATGTTTAAGGTTCACTTTCCATGCCCCCCCCCAGATATTGTAATATTGTAACTTACATTTGTTAGGTCCCCTTTTAATAGGTAGAGATTCTATATATAAAGAGTCAGGGCGGCTCTAAGGATGCTATTTGCTGAGAGTCTAGATACCGTTATACCCTTGTTTTATATCAGGTGTTGAATGCTGCTCATTTAGCTCGAGCTTCAGCATTTGCGCCGACATCACTTGCGCCCACATCGACCTTTTCGCCTATCGCGTCCGGGGGCCCGTGAGACCCGTGAGACCCGTGCGTGGTGCACGTCACACAGTGAGACCGGTGCATCGCGCGGTGGTGCGAGTGCCTTGTGGTGATTGGTGTGGCAGGTAGGCAATCAAGACCAAAGATCATGTGAAGAAGACCCAACGAATTCCCTACAGGTTCAGGTCCAGTCCGACCCCGGTCCAGTCTCCTGCGTGAAAATCTCGCAGTGCGTTTGGATAACCAACTCCAGTAAAATGAGGTCAGTTCCTGTGGGAATAATGACATTAAATAAACGTCAGATATTCGGTTCTGGGACACTGAAAGGCGAAGTCTTGACGCTCTGAAAGTCGTCTTTAGACTGGGAGACTGGCCCTACGAAGGCCCTACCACGGGGTCTCATGACAGAGGCGAACAAGGACCGTTATGAAGGGTTTGTTGCTTTTTGGACTCAAAAACGCTGTTGTTGATTGTAACTCAAAATAGTGGCAAGGCCCAACTTTGTCTCAATGTTTCACCAACTTTGTGCAACAAAAAACTCAGATTAGAGTTCAAACTCTTAGTGTCTTAGTCCTTGGTATATAGAACACATGGCATTTGCCTTGTGTGCTTCTGTTGCACCTGTCAATTGGAGCGGACACGATTTGGATCTCGCTGATTCAAGCCCTCAGGCCCTCAGGTAGATCTACTGGTAAAGGAAAACAACAACAACAACAACAACAACAACAACAACAACAACACCAACACCAACACCAACACCAACACCAACACCAACACTAACACCAGCAACAACAACAACAACAACAACAACAAGACATTAAAGATCGTTAGGAAAAATCAAGTATCGTGCGCAAACCGGTCGCTTCAAGCCCTCACTTCAAGAGATCCTCGGTTGGTAGTCTAAGTAAAATGGGGGTACCTCGAGCTCCTGTGATATTTGATGGCAGATCACTTTAGTGACGGCCTACCTTGGCTGCTGTAGATAGAGTTACAGGGGTTGGTTCCTTACAAATAACACAGTGGCGGGCTCAGAAACAGGGGATGGACTCCATCAATTCTATTGGAGCAGATTGGAGCTGATTTTGAGGTTGGCCCCACCATTGCTTGGGCACTGCTCATTTTTTTTATTGCAAGAGACTTATAAACATGTGTGTGTGTGTTTACAGTATATAAGATGAGATAAGGTGCCTGCTGAATAAGCAGGATATGCTGCACAAGCGCGCGCGCACAAAGGAAGAACAACAAGAGGCACAATAGCACAAGCGCATACTGCCTGAACATTGAATTTATAGGAGCCAACCCTGGAGTCAGATTGTTCTTGAGGCCATTATAATGAGCTGAATGTTTGAAAGTAGTGCCTCACTATTTCAGGTGGTCGGGGTCTTGCTTTAGTGTTGTTTTGTCACTATCTCCAGGAGCCAACGTTGAGAGCTCCTAGAAACCCTACAAGCGTTGGCTCTTCTATGAGGCTGAGGTATCTCACCCCCACCTGCACCAAGCCTACCTACCAACGTTGGCTACCCCCAACAAAATCACCACTTGGAGGGTGGCTACCCAGACAATTTTGGGTACCTAATCCTCACTGGGGATCTTCAAGCATCATTTCAAGGATCATGTGCAGACCGGTCACGTTAGAGAATCCACCTCCCTCTCAGAAATGGAAGAGCGCGTCTCTGCATGGGGCGTCGCGGAGGTGATCAACTTCCTAAGGATCCCGGGAATATCCACAGGTTATGTCGTTCCACTCGGCAGCCGCTGAGTTGGATTACCTGTTGTCAAAGCTGGACGGCATCAGCTGATATCAGCTGGTCACAGTCAGCTCGAGTTTCTCCATGAAGGTTCCTAGCTGATCTTGAACTCATCCTTTCTACGGATGCAGATCATGCATCAGGGTTCAGACGATGTTAAGTCGACATCCGGCATGTTGTTGGCATTGGAAGGTCCGAAGAGTTTTTGGCCGTTGTGTTGAGGTTCCAAGCGCCTTGGTTGTGCAGTCTCCCATTGAACGTGCTGTTGCGCCCGGGAAACCAGCTTTCCCGTGCTATTTGGGACGTGCAAAGTTATTGATTAACTGGTGAGGATCCATTAAAGCCGTGCATTTGATGAAGGGCGGAGGTACTGTTGACTTCTCCGCGGCACCTGCGCTATTCTAGCGTTGAGTCAAGGCTTTCTTCCAAGGGGTGCCCGTGAAGCACCATGTCATGTCTTGGTGCGGGCTTGCTGTATTGCAGGGCTGACGCTATACCAAGTAAGTGATTCTGCGGCGCCAAAAACAAGGCCCAAAGCCTTGAGAACAGGAGCTTCCGTGTGGAGGGCCCGCCCTCGAAGCATATGGGTACTATATTATATACTTGCATATAAATGCGATGTAGGCTATATATACTATACACATACACACCCGTAGAAGTCCAGAGACTGTTTTTCCAACTGAAGTGAAGGATATTCCTTTTCGGGCCATCGAGTCGTACCATTCTCTTTATAGTCTTTGACTCCTACACTATTTACTGTATATCACTATAGGTACGCATGTTTTTAACGTCCAGGTCATGGAGGCCGTGCCCAAGACCGACGCCAAGAGCCCCCCAGTGGCGCCCAAGGCACCGGTGGCCGAGGCGTCCGTCCGAGGGAGGGGGGGCGGGCAGGTCCAAAGAGGGAGAGCGACGGTGAGCAGAAGACATTTGGATATTGGAAGAAAATGTTTCAACCTAGGCAAGTGCAACCTATATACTGAACCCGTCCAAGAGTGGTGCTTCGAAGCAAACAGGTGAGCTCATGCATTAATCTCTAGACCCTTCGCCCATGGGAAGATGGCATTCAGAGGCCGGGGGCCCCTGTCTTGGAGTAGTGGGTGTCATGGGGTGCCAGCGGTGGTTTTTGATGAACAACCCACAGGTTAAACCGCAAAGACATGGGGGTGGGACCTCGTCATTCCTGGCGGACTTGGGTGAACCTGGATCCGCAAAAAACATATAGCGAAGAAATTTTGAGAGCAACTGTTTGTCCTCTCATGCCCGGATTCCTGAGCAGAAATGAGACTTTCAGGTCGCAGATGCGAGAGTTGGGCTGGGTTGTGGATCGCACTTTTGTTGAGGATCGTGGTTTGCCGACTTCAACCTTCAATCTTGATAGGTGAACGCCTGATGAAGATCCTGTACTAATAGGGCCAGGTTCTGGGTCAAAACCAGGAGACCTGACCCATGCCCATAGGATCCTTTTAGCGTAGCAAGACTTGTTGAACATATGTAAGCTGGTCCGTGCGCGCCAGACGTGCGGTCCACGTCTCGCAAGTCTGTGGTCTGTCACGCCAGTTAATCACGCTATAGCATACCCTATAGCTAAGCTCATAAGTGTTGCTCAGGTTTGTTAGGCTTTTAACACAATATAGTGCAATGCAAGTCAAGATTCGCTAAGCTTTTGCAAACTTTTGCTCACTGTCGTTTTTGTCTATTTTGGTTGGTCTTGGTAAATTGATGTAAAACTGGTTGCAGGCTGGAATCAGTTGTTGATGTGAACCACTATTCGTTGTGATTCGTGTCGCTTCCCGACGACAACCGCCCGCACCAGGGGCTCTCAGCGAGAGGGTAAAAGAAGTCAAATAATCATTCTATTTCTGGACCCTCTCCAAAACTGTTTAGTTATGTTTTACTTGAAAGTTGCAATCGTTGTTGGATCTTTTTTGACAACCTTGAAATGGTGCATTTAAAGGGGGTCAACATTGAGTGATTATGCGCAATAAACTATACAATGTGAGTGCATGATCGGGAAAGGAGATGAACGCAGCGTGAAGTGGATGGATAAAGAAAGTCCGAGAAGTCTCTACAGTCACCCTTCATTTGTGGACCTTCTTGCCAACTGCTTAGTCAATATCTTTTTGAGAATGTCATCATGAGGCGGAAAGCTGACATCCGGCACTTTGAGGCCGAGACCAACACCAATTGGCTGCGATCCTGGACTCGGAAGACTTTGGCATCATGCGCCGCCCTCACCCATGGTGGGCCGATATTGACTGGACTCCGTTTGATCAAAATCCATATGTGCCACCATGTTGCGACTGTGGGCTGGCCAGTGACAGGGTCTCGGCAATACGAGACCGACCAGGTCTCATTCCAAATCTCGCATGACGACATCGAGGGCATCTAAGGCAAGCGTGTGCGTGACGGAGCCGCGCCTTATGGCGCACGAGTGGTTTCGCCGCTTGACTGGTGCTCTACAAGTGGACACTGGAGGTTGAAAATCACCCCAAGCCTGACCACTCCAAGCCTGACTGCTGTCGCATCAGCTGTTTGACCGATGTTTGCTTATCCTTCTGCAGAAAGTGCGAAGATTTCAGACCAGCCATAGCGTTCCTAGTAAATTTTCCAAAGCCAGCAATGGCTCCACTTTGCTTGAACAGGCTGACCATATCAAGGACATTTTTGGAAGAGCCTCGGCCTCACTGTTGGGCCCCAAACGTCGCCGCCACATGACTCTGCAAAAGGCATTGTTTGTACTGTGTTTTTTCTTTTTTGTTTTTCGTTTTTGTATGAATTTGTGTTGTTTTCTTGGCCACATCCTGGAGAACGGCCAGTTCATCCCTGCCTGATCCATACCCAAGACTTCACTGCATGTGTGAAGTTCAATCTGCAAAATCCCTTGGGTTGGCTTATCAACTTTGCAGATCTTTGCATTGGAAAAACCATCAACTTGTTGCGCGACTTGTGCGTGACTCCTTGGCGCTGCTTGGCTGCGTGACTCCTTCGGAAGTGACCCTTGCCATGTTATTTATGAAGCTGCATGCTAACAACTTTATGCACACGAAGAACAAATAACACTTCGGATTGTAAGAGCGGCTTACATGAGACATGAGTAGTTCGTTTCATGCCGGTCAATGTTTGTGTCTCATGAGACTCTCCCATGGAGGGTTTCCAGGACTTGATTTTAAAAAAATCCATCACAGCTGGTCAGAACCCTGTTCCGCCAGGCGCCTGCGACACCGGAGAAACTCGTTGCGTCCTCTCCGGAAGCCTCACCTTCGCGCCTGGCCGCACTCAAGGAGGAGGGCGCCAAGGCGGGGGCCTCGGGCGTGGCGCCTTCCGCGGAGGTGCCGGGCCTAAGGAAACAAATAAAATGAATGAGGGAATTGGTGCAGTACATGAAAGTGACATGCTACCCCTCCAAGAGTTGAACAATTCTAAAGATGCTCATGAACCAGCTGTTGCGAGCCGGAGGGAGCGACCGGTTCTGCAGTTCCGCTGCATTGAGGTATCTTGATAAAAACTGCAATTCAACAGGGAGTAACTCGGAGTGTACTACGGGAGGTCTTGTTCACCAGCTTCAATCTCTAGGGATCCGCAGAATGATGCCTTTTCAGGTTCGGTACCACTGAACCCGACTGGCTGGCGCCTACATAAAAGATATCTCCAATCACCCTCTCAGGTGTTATGTATATCCATGAGGCTTTGCAGCGCAGGGAAGGTGTTTTTTTTGAGCGTCCTCTTTCGTCCCAGGTCCTGAGCGATGCGAAAGCCAAGGCCCGTGACGTGGCAGCCAAGGCAGGGGAAGACGGCGCCCGTTGGATGCCAAGAACCCCAAAAGAAAATGCAAAGGACTTCCAAAACAAGAGAGGTTTTGAATATCGTTGAATGCAAGGGAGGCATTGGATGTGTTTTGGTTGGGGTATAATATACAAGTTTTAGGTTGAACATCTGGGATACTTTTGGATACATATATCATCAATTATCATCATACACATCATTGTCTATAGGTCAGTCCTTACATTGAAACGGACAGAGCCCAGTTTAGCAAGGTATGACGTGTTTATTTAGTCCCAAAATGTCCCAAAGTAGCAGTGCTTGCCTACAGTGGGAACACGTGCGACACATGTGACACGTTCAGCACCGCAGGTGCAATCGGTTGAGCCAGTGACAGTGGTCTTGACCAAGGCGTCCGAGATGAGGCGAGAACCGTACAAGCACGAACCGTACGAGCGATGGAGTCCGATGGAGCTGGAGAAAATGATGGGTCGGGTTTGGTGAAGACTAGACCCATGTTTTCTTAGACCTATTAGGTTGGAGGCCATCGCTACAAGGTTGGAGGCCATTGCTATTAATTTATTCTCTTCATGCTTGGGGCATGACCCACAGGAAGAGCCAGCGGTGGGACCTGAAAGTCGAACTGCTCCTGAAAGCATCCATCACCATAACAATTGGTCATGAATGAGAGAGAAAACCAACCCCAGATGTTTCATTGATTTTCATTGTATGTAATCTACACCTACATTGGGGTGCTTGGAGAGGGGTCAATGTGGGGAACTCTACCATGAACATGCGAGGATTGGACAAAACAATACCTATGGTTTGGGTTGGCCGCCCCCAAGTTGGTTCAGAATGGAAAGAGGTGGAAGGAGGCTATGATCTCCCTGAGTATGGGTCGGTCCCTTGGTCGCCAGAATCTTTTTCCATCACTCATGTATAGTCTGTATAGTGGATTGCGAGTAGATGGCACAAGTTGCCCCAAGTTCGGTGGTTTATATGGACCCGCATTTGGGCCCAGGAATCTCATCCTATTTTGATTGGGCCCGGCCTTTATGACTCATGGATGGTTCAGTTTATTCAGGTGCACCACCAAATAAACCTGTCTAAGTCATCTCAGCCTTTATGCCATCAAACCTCTGAAATCACTGTAGTTGGAAGACACCCTCTACCAACCTCCACCGGGGAGGCAGTCCGCGACCACTGCGGCGGCCGCCACCACGGGGGCCGCCATGGACCGTTGGGGCCAACTCAAGAGCGCGGCAGGCGCCGGACGGCAGGGGGTGGATCCACGGGGTGGACGATGCGACGGGGTGGATCCACGAACAAAGAAAAGCAGTCCAAGGGACTGGAAGACCTGCACTGATCCTCAGACTTCCCAGAATGCCAGAATCATAGGAAGATGCGGGTGACAGGCACCCAACTCTCCATTTCAATTGTGGAAACAAGTGAACACACGCACACACACACACACATCTGCATGACCTTCAGAGTGTAGCTGAGTTTTTGGACACCAAGTTGTACACTCCCGGTTTCGGGGGAACATAGCCCCGTAAGGATGACCGAAAGGATTTCTCATACCAATCACTCTCCCCTCAGTGGGGCGGATGGCGCTTCAGGTGTTGCTAACCTCAGTGTTTGGGCTGTTTGGGCTTCCAAACACGTCGAGGATGAATCTCTGCTGGGGGGGAGGCATTTCCGAGCCCAAAGGAGGATCCGATGGGTGGAAATGAGTTGTTGTAGTATCCAGGATTTCACAACCCTGGCAACAACATGAAACAACAATTTTCAGACGAGAAGGTTCCTAGTTTCGATTGTTCATCCTCTTTGCCTGGTCCAACACAAATCCAATGTGCTTGGAAAGTAAGACTCTTCGTTAAGCCTAACCAAAGAGATTCTTAAACACCGGGACAGTTGGACGATTCTGATTTTCAGGATTTGTCGCCCGGAAGGCCAACAGCTCCACATCTCACCCGAAAAAGCTGACCGTTCTGTCGTTCGTTGCCAGGCAACAGCTACGCATCCTTGAAAGAGCACCTTGACAGCGCTTCACCTCTTTGACGGAGATTGGACGAAACGTGCCATCATGGGCCTGCGAAACGCCCAGACGCGTCGGAGAATTGTTCTCCGTGTCTGTTCGACACAACGTTATGTATTTGGAGGGTCCAAGTACCTTCGAAGGTACTTGGATTTGTAGGGAAATGAGAGGGTCTCGTCCACACATTTGCTACTGATTGGTCCAGTGATGAATTTATAAAGTGCAAAGTCACCTTAGACTTCCATGTGTTCTTCAGATCAGCCTTAGAGGTCGAATGGACTCTTGGAATGCGAAAGTCGTACCACCCTGGAAGAAGAGGATCCCTGAGTCGGTCTTTGTCAGTCCCAAGCTCCCATGGCCTGGGGCCGCCCTTGGGAAGTGGGTTCATGTTCTGAACGGCCTCAGGAACGGCGTGAAAGCTTGGGTCTCTGAGAATGCGGTGGCCGCGAAGGGCTTGGCAGCACGCAGCTTTTTTGCCAAAACCTGGGACCGTCATCACGGCAAGGGACTGGGCGAGGGACGGCGGCGGCGTGACTGGGGAGTTAGGTGCGAGTTGATGAAAGAGAAAGCCATGCCACTGATTCCATGGATGGAAATATGACATAATATTCTCTATAGATTGATCCCACACTCCAATGATAGAGGTAAATATATGATATATTGAATATCATGGTTTGGGAATTCTTGTTTGTCGAAATATGTCGAAATGCTTCGTATTGGTCGCTTCTTGGGAGTTCCAGGTTTCAAGGGGCGATGTGGGCTTTCTAGAGTGAGTCGGTTGGGGTGGTCAAAAAGACCAGGTTGGCCCAGGGAGTCGGCTTCAGTGCAAAATGAATAAAACAAAAAACTGAATGACCTCCCTTACTTGCCTTGCTAAATGACTAGTCGCAATGGCCTCCAACCTACTAGCTTCTTGCTCGCCCTCATGCATGATCTCCCCTTCTGGATTACACACATGATACTACGACGACCTTCCAACAGGTGGTCTTGTCTATGACCGTCTATGACCCTACCAGATGGGCCGGCACCAGTCGTCTAAGGACGGAAACACCGATGATTCGGTCGATTTTCGGGTCGTCACCAGTCGTCACCAGTCGTCCAGGAACCGAGAGAGGGTTCAAGGTCGTTCAGTGTATACGTACAATGGTGTTAACTGGCCTGTTCAGGTAGCTTTGGATGCAAAGGTCCGATGTTCCCCCTAATCTCCTGATGCGCATCTGACAGCACATCTGAGGTCAATTGCAGTGGTCCCTGGACACCACCAAGAGCATGGTGGATTCGGTGAAGGCCGCCGCCACCAGCCGAGCACAGGAGACCCTCAAGAGCATCCAGGGCACCTATGCCACCTGGATGGTGGTTCTTGACGCGGGTGTGGCGCGCGAATGATCCAATGCTTGGGGACGGGGATCGATCTGTTGGGTGGTGATGGTAGGTGGGTAGGTAGATGGTAGTCCGTATATAGCCATCTCCTGGTTCAAGGTTCAAGTCTTGAAGTTTTTTGGGGTGGATTTTTGGAAGCTCAGAAGTGGAGAGACTGAGGTAATTTGGAACAATCCAATACTGAAGCATTACATGTGATTGATGATGTCGGCTAGATGATTTTGTTCATCAACCGCATGTCCAGCAGGTCTCATTGTCGTGTTTGTTTGCTGTTGACTTTTTTCCCGGATGAGTCGTCTGCCCAAAAGCTCCTTTCTTCAACAAAAAAAACACTGAAAGCATATACCCTAAGGATCCTTGGACCCTCCTTAGAAGAGGTCAATACCGTCAATACGCTGTGAAGCACATCGGGAACGCCTGTGGAGTGGTCCGGGGGTTGTGGAGTTGTCCAAATGATATTGAACAGGCGACATCAGGGTGGAAGCTGGGCCAGATGAAAAATCTGGATTGCTTTGCGCCGAATCTGTAAGTCTCGTGAAGAAGACCAAGATCTTTGAGTTGGTCATATATATATATATATATTTGGACGCAACGGACCGGAAAGTACCCTAGAACATGGGACATGACCCCATACATGGGACGGCAGCGATCCAACAGATACGACTGTACTCATGTTCGGGGGTGCGAACAGGTCGGGCACGAAAAAAACATCGATGGAAACACAGGAAAACCAGCCTATTTAGACAGGCCGGTGCTTGTTTCCACCCTCTCGAGTCAAATCCCTGGGTGTGAACAGCTTGGGGGTCCGTCTTCGATCTTCAGCCAGGGAACTGCGTTTCTGTCCACCCTCACCCACCATTGATTCATGACAACATGATGACCCAATGAAGTGGCTGACTGATGACCGAAGAGCGGGAGAACCTTTCAAGTCAGACGGCCTTCTTGTGACCTTTGCGATGCGATCGCCGACGGCTCAACGCCTGTGACACGCCATGCAATCAGCCATGGTACTTAATTCCCTCAGGCTCCAACTACCTCCTGAGATGGTTGGGGTGGGTGCCACCGGGGGTCCAAGCATCTTCCAAGGATATGGTTGGAGCCCTAGAAATTGAACACCTCAGGGCTGGTCAGACTGCCCCCATCTCAACGGCCCCAGCACCGGTGACGCTCATCCGAGGCTAAGGGGAAGACCCACGCAGCCCCTTTGGAGGGCACCGAGTGGCGCAACGATCAGCGGTCGATGGATAGTGTGTTTTTTTTTGTTTAAGCTGTTGACTCCGGTCAAACGTTTTTGATGTTTTTTGGCCACAAAGGGGGAAGGTTTGAAGGTTTCGGAGATCCACTTCCACCTGAAGATCCTGAAGTTTTGGTGTTTTGCGGTGAGCTTGTGGTGTCGTTGTACTCAGAATCGTCCATCTCCGAAGTGCACAGCTTTGACTTGGAGACTTCAACAAACTCGTCTGTCCTTTTCCTTATCGCCTCTGCAAGAAGCGATGTTTGGTTGAAGCACAAGGGATTGGCCAGTTCTTCATGATGTATGCTTGACCGCCCCGTGCGGTCTATGCATACACCACAGTCAGCCCAAGATAGGGATTTGCAATACGAATCAAGTTGTTTAAAGGCAAGGAGATCGGAGACTTATAGGCTTAGTAGGCTTAGGCTTAGTAGGCTTAGGCTTAGTAGGCTTAGTTGTTCAAGTTGTTCATAGGCTTAGTAGGATATCGGACTGGCAAGGATGTTCTTTGGCAAATCCTTTGCGAGGATGACCATGGAACCACTGATGGTGCTATTGAAAGCTAGACGAGACGAATGGTTCTTGTTGTTTCGTTCTTTGGGCACTCGTGCTAATAGCTGTGTAGATGACACGACTTGTTACCGACTTGTTGTAGCATTGTCAAGGGATGTGGACTTATCTTTTGTTGGCTTGATTCTAATTTGTAAGTATCACGAAGTGACGATTTGCAAAGATGCTGCAATTCTCTGGGAGCGCGAGTCTCACATGAAACTTGCAGTGTGCCTCTAATCCTGGAAACAGTGAACATGTTCTGATTCTTAATATTTCTTGATCTGAAATGAAGGACACCCAACCTAAAGCCAGCCACAAACTTCAAGTCTAAATCTCATGCCAGCACCACCCAGTTCAGATGGCTATTAGATGATGTAAAACCAATGATAGGGGGTATTGTAATCTACTCTACCTGGGTGGTGCTGGTGTGCCCATTCGAATATCAGTTCAACCAAATGGAGGTCTGTTTCCAGTCCCAAGGACCAAAAAGCACCTTGACCAGCTCAGGCCAGCGCCTTGGCGAACGCCAAAGACAAGGCATCTCAGGCCGGCCGAGGGAAGGAGATGACTGGGATTGGTATAGATCCCAAAAGTAAGATTCAGTTGCAGAATCACCAGATGTGAGGACTGATGCGACCCCCGGGTGTTTTGAGGACTTTTCTTGGGGGAGGTTGCTTTACTACGACCTCATCACGACAGAAAAACAGATCAAACAATTTCACTACCAGGTTCTTCAAAGTGACCGAACTTGATCCCCTGGTTGGTTCGGTCACTTAAGCCTCCAACAGGGTCACGAAAAGGAACCGTCAAAAGGTCACGAACTGAAGAAGCTGGTGCACCGGAATCCAGCGGATTGTCCATGATCTTCCAATTCTTAACGGGCGCATCAAGGCGCGACCAGAAGCGCTCCTCGTCTTCCCCGTGGTTTCGAACCCCCGCAGCAACGCGACACGTGGGATGACTCGCACGACACGTGTGTGTCAGGCGACCTCGTGGGATCACCAGACGCGCAATGTCCAGTAGCATCTGTCCTATATGAAGGATGATGCTCTTTGCTACTAGTAGCTTCTTGCTGCTAGTAGTAATGCCCCAGAGTTACTAGTAGCATCTAGTAGCAAATTAGCTACTAATAGGCCGCGAGGCCCGTGTTACTAGTAGCGATGCACTTGTTACCAGCTTCGACCTCCATCTCCCAACCCATGCGACATTCCACCGTTTTTAGCCATGCCCTATATCAGTATAGCAACAGCTGGCTGTGATCCGATGAAAACCATATGGTTAATTCCCTATGGATCCACATACCAAACCTCAGATGGCGAGCAGGGAGACTATTTATGTAGGCGCCAGGAGGGTCCAATTACCTTCTGAGAAGGTATGTGGATCCATAGGGATTCAAGTGACAGGCCATCCCGCCATCCTGCCATGCCTATTCATTTTTTGTTTAGTAGCGGTCGACCGTATCGCTTGCCACACACCACCAATTGGCTCACCCAAGAACGAACCGTTCCTGTCGCGCTCTCTACACCTCCAAAAGCAATCCCGTTTCACACGTATCACACGTTGATGGCATTTCATTGCATTTCTCCTCCGACCCTCCTGGCACCCATCCAAGTCCTATCTTCGGACTGGAGCGAACTCCGTCGTCGCTTCCGTCGCTTCCGGCGCTGGCCAGGTCCAGAGCAAGGCGAAAGACACGGCCAGCGCCGCACATTCCAAGGCCAAGGAGGTCGGACGGAGCGACGGACGGCGCCGGCGCTTGGGGCGAACCGAAAGGGGTTGGCCCAAGGTGTGGCCACCGGTGTGGCGGTTGGGTCCTTACGTAGGGACCATCCAGTCCATGCAGCTCCAGAGCAAGATGGAGCGAGACATGATGGTACTGCTTGGTGTGGTTGCCGGGCTTTCTTTTGGTATTTTGGGGCTCCAACCCTCCAGGTTAACAGAAGTTTAGTTACAGAACCTCCCTGACCCCTTCTCGAAACGAAACGTCGGTCCGCCTCGGCCAGGCCCAGTGAAACTCCAGACGTGGGTAATTACTGGAAGACCCCTCCTGGCCGCCCTGGCCTCATCAAGCGTAAATCCTTAATCCTAAGGCAAATTATGGGTTACAAACTATCGGGTTGTCCGGTTTGGGGCGGATGACGGATTAGAACCCAGAGCCCCTCTGACGAACACATCACTTGGAAGTGGATGGCATGGTCCCGAAAGGAAGACTACTTTCCACCAACAGGGGTCGAACTCCACTTCGATGTTAGTGAGTCAGAGTGTAGGGAAACCCGCAGCGTACCTGGTACGAACGAAGTCAGGTCCAGGTAGATTGAACTGCATGATTGTGCTCATTCAAAACCACGCAAGACCTGCGGGAGTGTTGACCTGCAATGGAGTGACGAGGTGGTGAAACCAGATGTGTGGATGATCAACTCAGCATTTCGTAGCAATATTATGTAGAGAGGTTTTTCACAGCCCTATATATCGCCCCCATATGTACCACAGACCGGGGTCCGAACGTTCAGGTCTCTCAACTTCTCTTGGTATGTATAGCAATGGCTGCTCGATTTGATTAAATCGGAGCCCTGAAGGAAGGACCACATTTTGTATTTTCACTCCAGGTAACATGTACACTTTGCCATGCATTGTATATATAATGTACGCTTACCCTGTAGCTCGCGGCCCAAACAGGAGCGGTAGCTTAACGGCTGATAACCACTGTCATGCTCCTCGCCGACCAACGACGGGAGCACCTTGGCCGTGCAGGAGTGTCACGATCCGGAAATTGGCTGGCTGATTATGAGGACGCAGGATTGAAGTTCAGGGTCACCTCCGCCAGCGGACGTGGGAATTCCAGTCCAGAAGCAGCCCTCATCCAAGAGGCCAGAAATCGCCGCCGGCGTGCTGAGAAATGTGGCTTCCACAGCATCGAGGATCGCTGCGAACATGACCTCCAGTTCATGGAGCGCATGCTTCAGATGGGCTACGACTTTCGTGGTGCCCAGCGGCAGGACTTCCTTTGTCATTGCCATTTAGCGAACCCTCCTCGAAGCAGAGCCCAGGTCAGTCTCGGACTCGGATACGATGACGACCATACCTTGGCGCGCCTGGCCTACGTCGATGTAGTGCCCGAGCAATTCACCGAAGCCATGGACTACATCGTGGACCAATGGTGCATTTTCTATCGCACCAATGTCCTTTCCTTGCGGGAGTACTCCGAGTACATCAAGACTCCCAAGGCGCATCGCAACTTGCTGGCATGGGATGGCGTTCATGTCATCGATCTGGACCAGCCGATGGTCAACCTTCGCCAAATTTGTGACGCAAGTCATGCAGCTGCCCGTCAGGATGTCATCAACAAGATCGGACAAGAGCAGCGGCAGCAGCAAGCGAAGGGCAAGCGCAAGTCAACCACTAAAGGTGGAGCTCAGCCACCGTCATCGGTGAGCCCGACTGCGGCTACCTCATCTTCATCTTGGGGATGGCGCTCTCGTGATTGGAGCGAAGGGTGGAGCCAGTGGGGCGAGCAGCGGCTGTGGAGCCGTGGCGCTTGGGACTGGAGCTCGAGTGAGAGCTGGGGCCGATGGCGCTAGTTGAGCCAAGTCTCAACATCTTAGGCGAGCATAATTCAATAGCTTTTGCATGATATCCTTTGTAAATATGTAGCGGTAATTTCCTCCCAAGTCCAAACTTTCAAGCTTTCTTTTGGGGGCGGGGAGTGAATATTTAAAATGCACTGGTAGGGCCACGAAAGGCAGCACCACGAAAGGCATGGGTTGCTAGCGCCCGTTCATGCCACATGCAAGCCTGCTTCACAGCAGTGCCCTGCACTAGCCCCTGTGCACTTTCCGCGTCCAGCTTTGGTATCAAAGATACATCAGCTGAGGGGGGTGTATTTTCACTCCAGGTAATATGTACGCTTTGCCATGCACTGTATATAGGATATCATGTACGCTTACCCTGTAGCTCGCGGCCCAAAACAGGAGCGGTAGCTTAACGGCTGTGTTTATACATGCAACCAGTCGGTTGGAGGGTGGCAACCAGAAGCTGAGAGCTGAGTAATGGAGCAGGTTAAATCATGCACAACGCAGTGCCCGAAAGAAAAATCTGTGACGTGTCCAAGGAACAAGACAATCTTAGCTTGGTGAAGATGCTCGTTTTTGGTGCTGGACAAGTTTTCTCACACCGGCTAGGAGAGAAACTGCAAATCATGTTTGAAATTGACCTTCCGAGGGGTTGGGACGAATTTGGTCACAAGCAATGATTTGTTTTTTCTTGCACATAGGGTCATGTCATGTCACAGTGTTCAAAAATTCGTAGGCTACAAACTGACATGGCCAAATACATCCCCTTCACAATCCTCAAAGCAGCTTTCCCTTGTGTCATGCTCTTCTCAAGTTCTGTTTGCTCCAGGTGGTCACGGACAAGCACGTGCAAGTGGGGAGCCCCGGTGAGCCGAAGAAAAGGGCCGGTGAGCCGAGCATGAGCCCAGATGAGCCAACATGGAGAGGGCCGGTGGTTTCGCTGGAGTGGAGACTCGAAAACGCCATCTTCAAGCCATCAAGTTGGCTTGGAGTCTTTTCCCTTCTCCAAACATTGATAGTTGGATTTTCAGTCTCTTGCCGCCATCTACGAACATTAGACACTAGACATGTGTGGACTCTTGATGAATATCCCTCCGGTTTTCATGTGTGTTTTTTGGGCAGCCTTTTCAATCTATATAATTTTTGGGGTTATGAATCAAGAGATTAAGTTGGATTGGCCATATTGTCCGAGCTCGGTGTTTTTTTGAATATAGAGAAGGGTGGATATCTACCTGACCTATCACGCCCTGCATTGGAAGGGGCTCGCATCAGTGCGCCAAAAGAGCTCAGACACCCTTCTCCAAACAGGTGCCGTGCGTGGTCACTGGTGCCGTGCGAGACTGCAGTGTTTCGTTTGTTTTTTTTCAACGAGATGGCCACATGTCAGGCGTTTAGGTAAGGTCAGGCAGCATGGATTGTTGGTGCAGTTTGGATGGTGACTGGTGACACCTTGTTTCGTCTTAGACTTGCGCAAGTTTTCCCCCATCTCCAAAAGCCAACGGTAGTGCCAACGGTTTTCCGAATCTAATAAGGAAGAAAGAAGACAGGTTTAATATAGTTCGCTATTTTAGGTTGGAGATTGTTGGAGGCCATCGCTAGTAGCTTGGAGGCCATCGCTTCTAGGTTGGAGGCCATCGCTATTAGAAACAAACAATAACAAAGACAAAAGAAAAGGAAGAACGGTTTAATATAGAGTCTACAGGAAAGATGTCATTTGTGGTTCCCTGTGGACTAGTCCTGTAGAAAAAATATGGCTGCATCCCATAATCTCACGGTGTTGTTCTCAGTGTAAAGTAGACCTCAACAAACCAAGAAAAAAACGCCCAGAATCAACCCCCTTTTCGATTATGTGTGTGCCTTCAGCGTCTCCAATTCCCAAGGTTTGTTGATTCCCCACGCAGTTTCTTACAACCCCAACAAAAGCCCAACACCACCACAAGTACGTCTGTGGCTTGCAGCCCCACATCCCAACAATCCTCAGTTAAGCAATCCTATCAATCAAGCCAATTGGTGTCAGCAAATTCACCTTTCTAAAGTTGTACGTGTCATACCTCCAATCCCAATGTTCAACACCTAACAAAACGCTGCTTTCATCACCGCAGAACCTCCTCAGGGCCTGACTGTGATGCATTCTTCCGTGTCTTCCGTGAAAAAACAAACAACAGAAGACATAACAAATCACACAAATCAAACGCCCACACACACACCCAAACCAAAAAGACCTAACAGCCACGTCGCCCTTGGAAAAACAGCCTTTTAAGGCCACCGCTGCGGGTGTCTTGGGCGGCGCAGCCACCCTGGGCGCCAGTGGAGGCGCCACCGGTCTCGCGGTACCTGGGCGGCAGCGTCGGCCCTGGGGGGCAGCGTCGACGTGGCATTCTTTGGGTCGTCTTCAAGCCTCATCCAAACAACAGGAATATGGAATCAAAAGGAATTTACTGTAACAGAAAATCAAGAAGAATCAAGAGGAATTTAAATATGAACGGGTAGATGTTATTCCTTCAGGATATTCCAGGTTTTACTTTTACTTAAATCCCAAGAGTGCAGACATCATAAACGGTGACCCCCGAAAAGTGCACATATATAAATACATTATTCTGGGACGGTTTATTGATCCAAACTGAATATTAGTATAGCATCTCATGATTGTTGGGTGCAGATGTTCTTTCACCAGGAGGCATTTTCGTCACTAGAGGTGGGTTGTGGGGATAGAAGTCTCCAACAGGCCAGCAGTATCCGGAGACGAACTGGGAAGAACAGTGGACGTTGAGGTGAAAAGATATCTGTGTTCTTCTATATCGTTTCTGTTGGACAGTGGATGTGTGCTTTGGCCTTCGTTTCCAGGCGTTTTGGTGAGTTCTACGTTGGATTCACGGCAGGATCAGGGGCTTCTGGTCCTGACCCGGGAACCACATGTTCTGGTCCGGGCCCCGAGAACCAAGTGAAAGGCCTCCCTATCAGAAGGGCCCGGGGTCCCGACCCAATGAACCCGTTGATTGCAGTCACCCCATGGCAGAAGGGCCCCAGTCTTGGTGTCTTCTTGGTGAATCACCTTCCTGGGTCACTGAGTCACCATCACTATCACCTAGGCTGTGCACCATCACCGATGGTTCGCACCCAGGCTGGCACTGTGGTGGGCGCAGCTGTGGGAGTTCTTCCGGCCCTCTTCACCTTCGGCCTCTCCATCCCCTTGGGGGCAGCCATTGGCGGTGGCGCAGGCGGGAGACATGTCTTCTAGGTCTCGTGGACTGCCCAGAAGTCTCTCGATCTACATGCGGGAAGAGACCCACATGGAGCCAGAAAATGAACCTTTGGAAGACTACCTTCTTCATCTTTCTTCCCAGTGGTTTTCAGGTTCCATGTTAATCTTCCAGTAGCCTGGTTTGGGCGGGTTTTCGGGTGATGTGTTCTTTCCCGAACTGGGTGAATCTCCTTCAAAATGAGGGAAAGATGCGGTTCCTTCTAAAACATGGGCGCTCCTTCTTCACGGCCCTCCAAGCACTCGCCCGCCCGCTCCTGCCCACCTCCAACCCGGGACAAGACCCGGGACCTCGAACTCCTGGTTTCATGGAGTGAAAAGCACCCAGAACCCGCTCCCTCCCTCACTCGGAGGACTCATGACAAGTTCTCTCGGGGAAGACACCAGAGATCCCATGGGATGGGTGTCTGTTCTGTATCGATCCAGGAGACCTCCCAGCCAGGCTGTATGGGTCTATGTCCCGGACCTTTCGCCCACCGGATGGTCGGGACGTTTCACAGGTGTCGGACGTCGGTCTCCCTGGAAAGGAGCTATCGCACAGAAGTCGATCGTGTCACTTTCGCAGTACACTGTTCGGGACAGTTCTGCTTGGAAGATCGAATCTGGAAGAACATAAAGTTTCGCAGTTTCAATCCTCCAAGCAGAAATGTCACTGTTAAACAAATGGGACATCTGAAAACGTTTAAAGCGATCCACGTACTTCCCTTCGACAATCATGGAAGTGGACGGCGTGGCCCCCCTGGAAGACTATTTATCTTCCTCTACCAACAGGCGGTAAACTCCACTTCCATGATTGCTAAGGCGAGCAATAGACGTTCTACCATGACCCGTATTTATACCAAAGAAACTCCATGTCTTCCATCATTCGTCAATGTTGAGACGATTTCAACATGTCCTGCATTGGGTGGTCCACATCAAGACGCATATAGACGCACTGAGGTCTCCGTCGTGCACGTGAAGGAACAAAAGGAGTTTCAAGTTGTAAAGATCGAAAAGCAAGATTAGATTACAGTAAACGTGCGAAAAGCGGGAATACGAAACTCATACAAACCGTTTTCACCGTCCAGGACCATCCGAATCGCATGTCCGACTTGGCCCCAGTTCGACCATTCTCAGGAAGTACTTTCACCTCCAAGACCATCCTCAGGATGGTCCTGGAACCTTAGGGAAAATGCTAGAAAGCACGTCTGATAGCACCCTTTCCATCAAAAAGCTGTTGCAACAGAGTTGTAATAAGTGTCGTTACTGTGATGATCTCTCATTTTGGGGACGGGGACACTGGTGCCACAAGTATCCGTTTCACTCACTTGAATGGACATCCAAACATGAGACCCTTAGCCCAAAGCATCAAGGCACATTTGTATCCATGGTCCAACATGTCAATGTCAACGAAGCGATCTTTGTTGCAACGTTTGAGCCAAGTACTCATTCCAGAAACAGTTGTCCACTTCTGTAGATGATAGTCATGCCTTGGGGAAAGACATGGGAAAACAATTAATAATATACGTATACCAAGAATACATACAGTTTGTAGAGCAAGTACTCTACGCAAACGGATGAAAGTGAGCATGTTCCACTTCATGTAAATGATAGTAAACAGACCTAGTAGTGAAAACACCTCGGTAAATAGACTAAGAATCGTTCACTTGAAGAAAAAAGCAATTGTAGAACAGCTCATATACTTCTCCTCTCAGGCCTCGCCGTCGGCGCCTCTGTGGGCGCTGCTGCGGGCGGCGTGGCGGGCGGCGCGGCCGGGCACCAGGCCTACGCCAAGCGGGAGCAGCGCCCTGGCGTGGTGGAGCCGGGCTCCGCGGGGCGGAGAGGAGCTCGGAGCGGTGAGCTGAACTGGCCCAGACGCGACCAGTGGGACTGCCATAGATGCCGATCAGTTGACCCCTCTGGCACCACCCCTGGCCTGATCGGCATATATGGCAGTCCCATGGAGCGTCTGGGTGGGGACACGGTTCGATGACACCACGAGCTGCTGCGACGTCAAGCGAGACGAGGTGATAGAGAAACTGAAGTAGCTGAGGGAGAGGGAGACACGACATGACACCACTTGGCGGTTTGTCGAAGAGCTAAAGAAGTCGTTTTGTTGGCCTTGTCTTGAATAGGAGGTTTTCTAGTTACTACCTACAGGGAGGTGACCCCGCAGTGGTGGACCTTAAGAAACTGAAGCATGCCCTCACGTTGGCCTTGGCCATCCATTCTTTCGCCAAAAATCCATGAGACCAGGATTTAACAAAGAGGCACAACTCTGGTTTTCATTGCAGGAAGAAAGCCGATGCCGTACTTGAGAAATGAACACAGAAGCGAACAATCCCACTAATTTTTAGGGCAAGCATTGCCCCAACCCAGTTCGTGATTTGATTTCAAGTGCAGCATGTTCTTCCATAAAAAGCTTCTTAAAATACACACAATGGTGCCCTGTTTGTGTATGTTTACTCGGCAAGATACTTGGATGAACCTGGGCTCTACCAAGAACTTGATTTTGGGCTTGATGTGGACTGGAACCAGGATAGTTACTGTAATCATCCTGATGTTGTAGTTAGGAAGCCTTGTTGGGAAGGTATGGGAGGTGCCTCAACTTGGGAAAAAAAGCTGAGCGTAAAGCGATTGGCCTGATAACTGATTCGATGTTGCTGAAAGTAATACTAAGGCCAGTTAACCCTTATCAACATGTTTCAAGCGCGGCATTCACTGAGTTTATGATTATTTGCCTGATCACAGGAATGTTTGATGCCTTTGGTGATCCATGGTGATCCCATTGAACATGTTTCATAAGCCCTTTTCTTGCATGGTCCTTGATCGGGGCTACAGCGAGCTTCTTTCCCACCCAAAGTGACATGTCACGTGACCCTGCTCACCTGGCTCAAAAGTGGAGACCACATATCTCACCCAAGCAGCTCAGCTAAGCAGAAAAAACGGCTCGTCTTCAGTGATTTGCTTTTCAGTCCACGTCTTCTCACAAGGATCGGAGAGTTCAGCACGAACACCATGAACAAGGCCGGGTCCACCTTAGACAAAGGACGGGTGTCATCCACCGGTTGGACGTCTGTTGCTTGGAGTGAGGGCATACGGAGGCGCCAGACGTGTATACATGATTATGCATGTACAATCATGTACACGTGTTATACCAGGTCGTCGAAGAAGGTCGTCGTGCATGGTTCATGCGCAAGGAAAAAGATCTGGACTTCAGGTAGAGGAAGCATGAGGAAGCAAAACAGCCACGGTTTTCCTTGTCACTGATGCCACTTTGCCAATAACGAAGCAATTTTGGGTCCACCACCTACCTGGCAGCCCTCGGTGCCAGACCACGTTGAAGTGGTCTGCTATTCGATCGACTCTCAGAACTACCAGTCACTGACGTTGGTCTTTTCATGTCTTTTCCGAACTTGGAGGATAAGGGTGCCCTTGGATGCGCCGTATGTGCCTAAACCATCACATCCACTCACTGGATACGACGAACGGACGACTCTCGACCGATCCGGACCGCTCCCGACTCCCGTCTTAAGACGCCGTTCGGACGGAAAACGATCGCCCGAACTCATCGGCTTTAAAGGCATAATAGGGTTTGGGCACCAGGCACCCGGCACCAGGCGCTGGTGAACATCACGAGTTAATAGAGATGGAAAGGTCGACGGAACATGCGGTGAAGAACGCATCACCATGCACTTGGCTTCGGTAGTGGGATAGATCGACAAAGGCCTTCAAGTAAATGGTAAGCTACCATGAGCCTAGCCTTCCGACTTCCTTGAAGACCATTTAAAGGAGTTCGGTTCACCTGGTTTGTAGATTGTAGATAATTTCAAAATCACAGGAACAAATATAGAGTATATTTAAGCATACGGGTTCGGAATGAAAGACCATCGAATCCGGTTGAACTGATCCTTTGGGATTCGAACGGACTTCCTTTGCCGATCAGTCCGTCCCCGCGGTCCCAGCCGAGAGCTCGGTCCGAGTCGCAGGTCACGACTGGGGTGGATGCGGTCAAGGGTAAGGCCGGATCAAACGGACGGTCACCTACATCCAGGAAGTAGGGTGCAGTCCGTGAGGGTGCAGTCAGGTTCTTTTTTTCCATTTATATTAAGTCAAGTACCATGATCATACCAGGTGCTGCTTATGCTTCGGTGATTCGGCACAATCCACCTCTCCCACACGCATGCAGAGACTGTGTCGCTGCCAACCGCAGCAGCCCCGCGGTCCACGGTCGCAGCGCCGGTGGATCCGCCGGTGGATCCGAAGGAGATGGGTGTGGGTTGGAGCCGGGTACCAGCTGTTCTTTTTTTTTTTTTCCTATAGCTCATGTTTGAAATCATCCAGGTTCCTGAAACAGACGGCATGAGTGAACAAACAGAAAGTTGTGTTTTTCCTCCTTTTCGAAACATCGGGAGACCGACACCCGTTCCACAGCACCTGGCTGCCTGGCTTGAGAAATAGACCAGGTTCAAGGGACCGGTCGAAGTGACCGACCGGACGACTGGGTGGACTGAAGAGATGGTTCTTATAAGGGAGGTCAACCGGTTGGCCATGGTTTTCGGGACCATTTTTGGGGGGGACCCACAGTGACCCTTGAGACAGTCACTTTGCCGTCTTTTCAACTCTTAACATCTTAAAGAATAGCTTTTGGTCCATGACGTTTCGGCAAAGTGATGATCCCATAGATTTGGGAAAGTCATTCTTCCATCTTCATGGAGTAAGTTCTTTTAGAGCCTTTTTGTGACCTTTTGTTGGACCACCAACCAGAAGCGACATGCAAACAACCAAGCACTCGTTTTCCAACGACTCATGAAAACGAGCATGTTGGTGTCCACAAAGGTCTGTGAGGAACAACCTCAACATCGAGTGCAGAGACACCGACATTGGGTATATCCCAGTTTTCCATCCAAGACCCAACACTAGCCGTCCCTCTTTTTGAGGAAGGCCCGTATACTACCATCATCAACATAATAATCAATTTTAATCAAACATAATATCAAAACTATAGTAATAATAATCATAATAATAAGCATCATCATTGACTAGGCTTTGGTGATGGAATATACCCAACATAGACTTCTTCATACTCAGTTCCTTCATTGACGTCTTGACGTCTTTTTGTTCGCCCGCCAGAATCGACCTCCTGCCGAAAGCAGTTTGTTGTTACTCGTCCCTGATGCGAACATCTATCTACATTGGATAGCCTGAGTCTCGGACCTCAGAATTGGGGTTCTTAACCATATGGTCCTTTGGGAAAATTCAACACTTCCTTCAAACATGGCTGCCTCCTCTTCATCCATCTTCATCCTGCCCACGGATGTGCTGAAACCAGCGAGATCATTAGCGAGTTCGCGCCAGGTCACCACTGGTGTTGATGCGGTCAAGGGCAAGGCCCGCTCCGACGTGAAGGAAGTCCCCGCTCCGATCTTCGCCTCGAAGACGCCATGTTTTTGAGTTTGTTTTTTTTGGGGGACTGCCTCTCAGTGTTCTCAGATGTTCATATTGTTTGGATCATGTTCTCAAATTCCTTCATTGTCCTAGTGTCAAATTGTGTCAAAATCATGTTCCTATATTCATGTTCAAATTCATTACTGTAATCAGGCTGTGGCTTCGGAGCTGTTTTCTTTGTGTATGGTGGTCTTTTCGATTGCAGCACGTGGTCCATGTCGAGACGGTCACGCCCCTGTGTTGTTCGGGGTCCGGACCCTTTAAGGGACGATGCGAAACCCGGGAAACCCCCAACAGTCTCCGCATCACCGTTGGTGCGAATGGTTGGTGATCCCTGGAAGTCAAGGACCATGTTTAGGTCTGCTTGGTCTGGTTTTTTCTAGTGTAAAACCCTTAAACAAGGGTGGCTCGGGATGTTTTCTGGCTAAAACCATGGGCTCGCCACGACTTCCACCGCGTTTTCGGGTTGATCCCCGGGAAGCCCGGTGAAATCCCAGACCTGGAGGACTCTCGTCCATGAGCCGTTTCGTTCCTTCTCGTCTCCTTCCCCCCTTCCGGTCTGCTTCCGGTCCGGTGCACCGGTCAATGGTCTTATTGGTCAATGTAAATGGTTGGGCTGTTCGAGTTCAAGAAAGAAACACTTGGGGATTGAGAGCTCAAACACACATATGTCATATATTGTTGTTCACTCGCCATGACTCAACCCAGGGTGAGCCCGGTAGCGAGCCCGTTTCACACCTGACCTCTGATTGACCTCCAGGTCGTCTAATTCTCTTCTTTTTGGCTGGTTCACTGCAGTCCCCCCAATGACCCAGACGCCACAAGCCCTCCGCCGCTGAAGCCGCAGGGAGGGTCGGCGCTTGACTCGTCTCCCCAACCGTCGGGTCGTGCTGAAGGGAGTCGGATGTGGTTTGGGTCAAAGCCCGGTTTCGGTGCATGTGAATATGAACCCAGACATGACCCCTGTTTTGATAGGAACACACAGACACACACATATATATATATATATCATATTTGGGGTGTCTCAAAGGGATTTCACTCAAGTTCGTTATATGGTATAATTATACATATATAGCTATTTATTATATACATGACATGGAGCCCTGTTCAATCACCACTCTGCCCTGTTCAATGCAAGACACCCGTGTCGCTGACGACCGTCACAGGCTGTGGCCTCGGCGCAGTACCTCAAGGACCGAGCATCTCAGGCGAGGTGCAGCGTGGGCGAGGTGCAGCGTGTGAAGTGGGTGCGTGGCCAGTTCGTGGAGGTGGAGGCGGAGGGGGATTTTTTGATTATTTTTGTGCTTTATCACGGAGAGTGAAGATGAGTTGGATGGATCTGGCTCGAAGGAATGCCAAGAAATGGAGGCTCCTAGAGTCTTTGTTCGCTAAAACACAGCATCTTCTCCTAAATTTAGACATTCAGCAACATCTTTAAATTTCTGAAGACCAAGTGGGGTGAAGAAAAATCAATGCCCAGACACAACAGAGGCTCCCGCAGTCTTCTTGGCTTAATCCGGCTATCATTGTATAAGCTGGCAAGATCATCTTCTTTCAGAGACCAGGTGGAATTCCGAAGTCTTTGCCCGGACCGCGGTCTTCACCTTACTTACTTACTTACTTACTTACTTACTTACGAGCGCGGTGCTCTTCTTCCCTTACCCGCCCCCTGCATGGGCCTCCACGGTCCCTCGCCCAGGCCCGCGAGCGCCTGGGACGTAAGGCCTAGGCAGCTCGCATCGCTCGCGTCGAGAGGGACGGTGCAGAGGTCATGAGACCTTCACGTCGGAGCACTGAACGCTGCTCGCTCCGTTGGCGCCCTGTTTTGCCCAGGGTCCATGATCATGAGAGTCTAGGCAGGACCATCTAGTCTAGACTGCATGAGCTTATTGGAACATTTTAGGAAGAAGGAAACGACGAGAACTGAAGGAACATTTGTTCAAGTGTGTTTTGGGGTGAGTTTTCCTGTCGTAGAAGAACCCGAAGTTGCAACTTGGAACGCCTGGAACAGTCGGACGGGTGTGGGTGGTAGAGATGATAGTGGGAAGAGGCCCCTTGACAGTCTTGTCACTTGTCATGTGTATCCACGCAGTCCTCCACGCGGACCGTGTCTGAAAGGAACAACTTATGTCTTGTCACATGCAACCGACCGTAGCACATTTATACCATGGACTCGACCATCATCCAATGGGTGTCTTGGCTGGAGATCCCTAAGTAGTGTAGAATAGTGCAGTCCAGCCGGAACACCCAGACAGGATGGCGTGATCAGTCCTTGATGTGGGCGAGTACGTAGGTGGACCATGGTGGTCAGCTCATCCATTCAATTCAGTTTCCTGTTTTTGCGAATCAGGTAATGTTATATATATATATGTCAACATGCGAATGCATTTGATGTACACCTGTCATGAGGTGTTCGTTTTCCCATGTGCGACTGCCGTCGCATCTTTGTCCGAAGGGCCCTTGATCCGCACGTGTTACGACCTCGACACTCGCAGCCATAAAGAGCTTTCTTTTGGTGCGCTTTTTCTTTGTTGCTTGGACGCTTTGTGGACTTCGGTTGCCACCATTGCGATAGAGATTGGTAGCGGAGCGCTACACGATCCTCGGAAAGATCTTGGAGGTGGACCTTTTTGATTGAAGACTGCTTTGGCATCCTCCTACCGTTTAAAGGTAACCTGATCTCAAAGATCGTGTTCAGCGCCACTATGGCAGGAACTGGTGGTGGACAACAACGTCGACGCCGCGAGCAAGAAGTCCCACCTGCTGAAGGAGATGGATGGACACCTGAGCCTGAAGGGACACGATCTCCATCGAGAGCCAATGGAGCCGCTTCTTCAGCAGCAGCTGGCGGATACCGCGGACTCGACAGTGGCTTGGCGAAAGCCGCTCCCATCGCCGACGACCTGACCCAGTCCAACTACAGGAGCTTTAGAAAAAGGTTGGAACTCTTTGCCCTCCAATGCCGCAGGAGATCAAAGGATGCAGAAGTTGAAGGAGCTTTGTTGGTAGTTAGCCTTCTCAAGAACTTGGCTTGGGACGCAGCCTCAGAGCAGCTCGACATGAATGACATCGAGCGGAACACGGAACCCTTCAAGCCCGTGTTGAAGCTTTTGGACGGCCTGTACCAGTATGAAGAGGAGATTGAGGTCCCCGTACGCTGTGAAGATTTCTTTCAGCTGTTCATGAGAGGCCGGGGAGAAGAAATGCAGGCCTACTTGATTCGCCACAAGACTCAGTTGAAGAAACTCCGGGAGATTGGCATCGAGATCCCACCGCTTTTAGCTGGTTGGCACCTGCTCACACGGTCTGGTGTGCCCAAGTGGACTCACATCCAGATCAAGAGTCTTTGCAACGGCGAGCTCAAGTATGATCAAGTTCATCAAGCTTTGCTCAAAGTCTTCGGCGGCGACCACAAGCCGAATCCTCGTGACTTGTCCTCCAACACCAAGACGGTCAAGGATGATGGATTCATGGTTGAGGACGATGTCAACCCTGACGAGGAGTTCTACATGGATGATGAAGAAGAGTGGTATGAGACATACTATGAGGATGAAATGGAGGAAGGCTTCGAAGATGAAATCCCTGAAGAGTTGGAGGAGGCAGCTGACGTGATGGATGAAGCCTACATCTCCTATGTGGACTCGCGGAGGAGGATGAAGGAACTTGCTCTCTCAAGGGGGGTTCTATCCCATTGTCGCCATTGGACCTGAATATGATGGCTACGGTTCGAAAGGAAAATCCAAAGGCAAAGGCAAGAGCAAGTCAAAACCCTCAAAGGGAAAAGGAAAAGGAGCTCCACGACGATTTCCGCCTCAACAACGACGACCCATGGCTGGTTTGAGAAAGCCCTATACACCATCTTCAGCGTCGACTACCACTTCAAGTTCTGACTACAAGTCAACGCTGTCAGGATCAACATCCAGTCATGGTCCTCGCTTCAAACGCTATAGAGTACAAGCCCAAGGTGCAAAAGAAGTTCCTGAAGAACAAGTCACCATGGTGGAAGATGATGTACCACTATGCCACTTCGATGAGGAGGAGATATACTTCGTGTCGCTTGGCCCTGGCATGGCTATTGTTGACTCTGGAGCCACACGCACCATCGTTGGAGAAGAAGTCTGGAAGAAATGGCTTGAGGAAGGCAACTTCGATGATGTCCTCAAGATCCAAACTCGTCCTCAGGTGCGTGACTTCAAGTTCGGAGGAGGAGAAATTCTTCGATCGAGCTATGAGGTAAAGTTCATGGCCATGGTGAAGGGTCAGCAACTTCCAATCTGTGCCTCTGTCGTGCCGGGACCTACGCCCTTCCTGCTCGCTCGCCCTACTCTCGAGGACTGGAAGGTGAAGCAAAACTATGAAACCAATGAGCTCAAGGTCGGTGAATCTCCTTGGTTCAAGCCGGCACGAGGAGCCAAAGGACACTATCTACTCAACCTCCTGGACTTTGATGGTGACACCAAGGACATGGCACTCATCACTGAGGAGATCTTCCACAACAATGACGTTTTTGCCATTGAGCCGATCCTGGAATCTGAAGCCACGAATTGTGATGACCATGTGCTCCTTGAAGTTGAACAGGACGAAGCTTTCAAGATCCTCGATCAAATCGGAGCACGAATTGATGAAAACAAGAAGCTGATCTTCTTCGAGGTGTATGTCGATGAGGGCAACATCGCCACCTACCTGGCAAAGAACTATCCTCATGTTGAGGTATCGACCTTCGGACTTCCAGAATGGGACTTCAGCATTCCAAGAGTCAGAGAGGCTTTCAAGAAGCTTGTGAAAAGGGTGAAACCACACTATGTTTGGATGGCACCGCCATGTCGTGTATGGAGCACCATTCAACGATTGAACTGTGGTACTCCCGAAAAGATGAAGAACTTGATGCACCAGCGTGATGTGGAAGAGAATTCACACCTTATGATGGTCAAGGAAACCAGTGACATCTGTGATGAAGTCAACTCCGGCTTTGCAGTTGAACAACCACATCATGCCGCTTCTTGGGACACCAAAGCATTGAACAGCATTGACAACTGCTATGACGCCGTGTGCAACAGATGCCAAACTGGACTGTGCTACTATGACAAACAGGGCAACTATGTCGGAAAGGTGAAGAAGCCTACCAGATTGAGAACGAATGATGATGAAACCTATGAGGCCCTCAACCTTCCGTGCACATGTTCCAGCTATGACCACGTCAACATGGATGGCAAGAGTCGCAGTTTGAAACAAATGCAAAACTACGAACCTGGATTCGTGAAGTGTGCAGCCAATGCCATCATGGCCTCCATGGAACGTCGCTGGAGACAACGTGAAGTTCTGCAAATCTTCGTCTCCGAGGATGTCAATATGGATGAGATGACCCAGAAGACCACCGAGACTTCCGGAATCACCGAGGAAGAAAAGAAGCTCATGAAGAGTCACAGCAAACAAGCTCTTTCGGTGGTGACAAAGCTGCACAAACAATTGGGACATCCTGGCAACGATAAGTTGATCAAAGCCATGAGGGATGCACAAATGGACGACTCCATCATCAAGTGCGCTCGCGACTTTCGTTGCGATGTTTGTGCCAAACACCTCATGAGCAAGTTGCCAAAGCCTGGGTCACTGCCCCAGTCTTCGCACTTCAATGAGATGCTTGAAGCTGATGTCTTCCATGTCAAATGGAACAATGAGAAGAAAAAGATCTTGGCCATCCTCGACACCTTCACCAAGTATGAGGTCAATGCAGTGGTGGAGCGAGAGACTGAAGAATGTGAGTTGAAAGTGCTTGAGGAACAATGGATCCATCCTTTTGGACCTCCGAGCAAATTTCGAACTGATGCCTCTGGAGCACACATGAGTGAGCAGTATCTGAGGTTCTTTGACAAGTATGGCATCAAGCTCATCATTGTTCCCAAGGAGGCACACTACAGGATGGGTGCAGTCGAGCGCTTACATGCAGTTCGCCGACTTCAGCTCTACAAGATGCAACAAGGTGAACCCAATGTGGAGCTTGCTGATGCCGTTCGCATGGCCTGCAGTCAAAGGAATCGCCTTCGGAACGTGCATGGATCATCACCAGCTCAAATGGTCTTTGGCTACAATCCAGCCAGTGGTGGACTCATCGATGAACCCGCACCAACTCGACCTGATGTGCACGAGGCCATTCAGCAAGATCATGCATTGAGGCATCTGGCATCCAAAGCTTTCTACGAAGCAAATCATGATGCACTCCTCAAGCGCTCCATTCTGTCTCGCCCACGACCTGAGCTTGAACCTCTTCAGCTGGGAGATTATGCATTCTACTGGCGTTCTCCTGAGACCAAGCTCGACGCGCATCGATGGCGCGGACCTGGACTCGTGTGCGCAATTGAGCCTCGCACCACTGAAGACGGCATTCTCCGACCTCATGTCTATTGGTTGGCCCACGGAAGCAGCTTGGTTCGTTGTGCCCCTGAGCATGTTCGAGCGGAAGTGCCTGCTGAGCGACTGGCCCGTTTGGACGCTATGCCGGAAACTGCTCTCAGCCAACCTGTGTGTGATCGAGTCCGCAATGCCTTGATTCCTGTGCAGGGTCCTGTCCGATTTTTAGATCTTGCCACCGGACCCACCTTTTCGAATGCAAAGGCGCCCTTGTTGTCAGCTACATCGCCTCCAACAATGGCGAATGAGCAGCTTGAGCCGAAAGAAGATGACAACGTGAACGGACAACAGAACACACAAACGAGCGAAGAAACGACAAAGTCAGAGCAACAAGCAGCTGCAGCACAAACAGCCGCCGCTGCAGATACAGAACCACACACACCCGTTGCGGCAGCTGCAGACACACAAACAGCCGCCGCTGCAGAAACACGAACCACAGCAACAGCAGAAGAGAGAAATGAAAGCAGGGCAAGATCGCGGAGTCCCATCCCCAGAGATGAACGTGCAGCCTCTTTTGAGAACTTGAGGCAGAGCGCTTTGAAGTCCTACAACGATGCACGTACTCTGGATGGCCTGCCTGCAGTTGGTGGGGATGACCGCTCTTTCCAGAACCGCTTCAATGAAATGAATACCGATGAGAGCCTGGTTGCTGAAGCCTTCAGCGAGAAGAAGCTCACACCTGCAGAAAAGCAGCTGTTCGAGGAGGCTCGATGCAAAGCGTTGCAGGTTTGGTTCGATCATGATGCTTGGCGCCCTGTCAATGAAGATGAGGCACATGATGGTGAAGTGATCCCAGCCAGGTTTCTACAACGATGGAAGCCTACAAAAGAAGGGCCACAAGCTAATGCTCGCGTCATCATCCAAGGCTTCAAGCACAAGGATGTTCTCAACGAAGAGCTTGAGCGGGAATCTCCAACTCTGTCCATGCTTGGCCGACACTCTGTCTATGTCATGGCAACTCACAAGCGATGGAAGCTTTGGTCAGCCGATGTGAAGTCAGCCTTCATGCAGGCGGATAGCATTGATGCAACCACAAGAATCTATATCCGACCTTCAGCTGACATGCGTCGCTTGCTCGAGAAAAAGATTGACCTCAAACCATGGCAGATCATGAAGGCCTGCAAACCAGCTTTTGGAGATGTTCGTGCACCACGGCAATGGAACAACACAGCAAACGAGTACTTGTTGCATGAGTTGAACTTGATTGCACACCCACTCGACCGCTGTGTGTATCTTTCTTTGCGACAAGCTGTCGATGGTGATGACCCCTTCTGTGTCTTCGAATACAACGGAACGCATTGCATTGTCGATGGCATTTTAGGCCTCCACGTGGACGACTTCATCGGTGCTGGAGAAGGTGTCACGACTTTGAATGACATCACAGGTGAGTTCGAATATGATGAGAACACCTTTGCTGGTCGCCTTCAAAAACTTTCCCGGCGATTCAAGTTTGGCAGTTGGGATTTTGGCTCGAGTTTGGGAGTGAAGTTCAGTGGAGCCGATGTGGTCCAGAGTTTGAACCACGAAACCATCCAGATTTCCCTCGAGCAATACTGTCAGAAGGTGAAGCCGATTTGCTTGGAGAAGTCACGGAAAACAATGGTCAACGATGCTTGCACTGACAGAGAGCACAAACAACTTCGTGCACTGCTAGGAGCACTTGCCTGGCCAGCTCATCAATGTGTACCACAACTGTGTGCCAGTGTCAGCATCTTGCAGTCAGCATCCAGCAGCCCCATGATCAAGGACATCAATGAGGCCAACAAGCTGTTGAGATTTGCAAAGAATGTGACCAAGGACTACAAGATGACCTTCCACGCCCACGGCGACATCTCTTCGTTGTGCATTGGTGCATACACAGATGCTGCATGGGCAGTTCGCCCTGACGGAACGTCACAGGGAGGTTTGCTGGTCTTCCTGTGCAATCATGAAGAGTTGAGCTCAGAGAAACCAATGCCGCTGACAATACTCCAGTGGCAGTCCAAGAAGTTGCAGCGCATTTGCAGGTCTTCCTTGTCTGCTGAAGCCCAGGCCGCCGCAGCAGCTGTTGACGAGCTTGAATGGAGTAAGATCTTCATGGCTTGCGTTGTGGACCCCACCTTGGACATTGGTTCAACTGAGGCCCTCAGGAAGTTTGGCACGTCTCCACTTGCCACTGATGCTCGATCCTTGTTTGACGCTGCTCGAAGCATCACCCCGGGCATGAAGTTGAGTGAACGCCGCACTGCAATCGAAGTTGCGATAGTGAAGGATCGAATGTCAGCTCTTGATGGACGATGGTTTTGGGTGAACTCACAGCAACAAATAGCAGATGGTTTGACAAAGCCGGCAGCAAAAGACAACCTGGCCTATGTCTTGAACCGAGGAACTCACAAGCTGAGCTTTGAGCCGGACTTCATCGCCGCCAAGAAGGTCACCTATGAGGAGAAAGAAGCTGAAAGAAAAGAACACGAAGAGGCATCGAAAAACATCTTCGAAAACCAGATCTTCACGCTTGAAGAGAAAGATGGCAACCTTTGCGCCCTTCCTGGTTGTGAGAAAACATGTGATGCATCCAATCCAAAGAACAAGTTCTGCTCCAGGCGCCACTTCTACCTCCATGCCCATCGACAAGGTCAAAGGCATGATGCTTGGAGAACGGCAGCCATGTCGGCTGTAACTTGTTTGATTGCGAATGAAATGCCAGTTGTTGAAGGAAGCCCCACCGAGAACGATGAGCACATCCCTGAGTCCTTCCTCGGCACTCGTTTTTGGCTCACTGTTGGTGTTTTGGTTTTCTTTGCATGCATTGGCCTGGAGCACATGACCTACAAGATCTACAATCTCTTCCTCGAGAAGGCAATGGTTCTGTGGAAGAAGAATGAAGTGAATGAAAAAGAAGAAACGGTCGAGACCAATGACCGAACTTGCACCTTGCCTCAACATCGTGAAGAGGTGATGGAGCAAATCCTGGCCCTCTCCAGACGACCAGGTATCGATTACCGACCGGGCATCGACACCGGCAGTTCGACTTGCAACTCTGATAGCGAGCTTGAAGATGAGGAGTACAACCGATGGAAAAAGCTTCTAAAAGAAGTTGAAGATGAACCCAGCTCCAGCGCTTGGAGGAAGTTGTTGAGAGATTTGAATGATGAAAACAGCGTCTTGGATGATCAAACACGCCTCATCCTGACCACCGAGGGCTACACGACTCAGCGCTGGCGGAAATTCCGAGAGCTTTTGAAAACAGATCGAACTCAAGGCTTCTCGGATGACCAGGTGCGTCAATGGCACCGGATGTGGAATGACAACATCTGCTTCCTTGCGGATTGCAATCAGCGCATTGTGAGGCAGAGGACTCGCATTGAATCCCTTGAGAGGATCAACCGCCTTCAGTTCCTGAATGAGAAAGGTGAGATCAAGGACAAGATGGTCCAAACGAAGCTGAGTTTTGACCAGGAAACCACTCTGCCAACCAGGACGGCAAATGTCCTGCCAGACCATGCATGCGGAGCATGGGATTTTCGTAGTGACCTGAATCGGTCATGAGAGAGGCCCAACTTTTGAATGTTTTTCGAAGGCCATGAAAATAAACTTTTTGGCCTGTGTCAACATGCGAATGCATTTGATGTACACCTGTCATGAGGTGTTCGTTTTCCCATGTGCGACTGCCGTCGCATCTTTGTCCGAAGGGCCCTTGATCCGCACGTGTTACGACCTCGACACTCGCAGCCATAAAGAGCTTTCTTTTGGTGCGCTTTTTCTTTGTTGCTTGGACGCTTTGTGGACTTCGGTTGCCACCATTGCGATAGAGAATATGTATATTTTTGTCCTAGAACCTGATTGACCACTGTTTTGGAGCCAAAACATGGTCTTTTCCTATCAAAACAGAGGTCAATTGGGTTCTAGGTTCATATATTCTTATATTTTCCCGAACTGGGTAGATCCTCTAACCTGCGGACTGGGGAAGAGTTTCAGCTCTTTGTTCCAGCTTCTTGGACCGCAAGGTCTGCAAGGTGTCATTCGGTTTCATCGCCTCCAAGCAGTTCATGAAACAAATGCTTACCTCACTGGGAAGATGTTTTTTTGTTTTTTTCGCGTCGCCTGCAGTCGCTCGCAGCTTCCACCCTTTCTTTCGCTTTTAAGCACAACATCGATTTCACGAACAGACCAATTTCAATGTCTATGTTTGAGGCATCTTTCTCAGAAACAATGTACATGTCGTTGATGTCTCGACCATGTCGACATTTCAAGACTCGATCGACATCTCAAGACCATGTCTTCCTTGTTCCGATTGACCACACGGGTCCGACGGATGCCTTCCTTCGAACCTGTCCAGGCGCCTCTCGCAGCCACCGGTGCTGCCACATGGGATGAAGGCCGTGAGCGAGGGTCGTTGGAGCGGAACGGCCGGGTCGTTGAGAGAAACTCTCAAGTCGTCGATCTCCGGTGGTGACCGTGGTGTCTCATGATTTCATTGCTTCCCAGGCCAGTCAACAATAATTTTGGTAAGTAAGCAGCAAGGAAACATGAGCTTTAGAGTGCTTGCTACTGGCACTGGGCCTTATGTTTGGAATGCCCAAATCACATTTTGTTTACGAAGGGAGTCATTCCAATAGGAGAATCAACTCTTATAACGTGGTTGCCGCTCTCGTTTGTTGTCTCCTCAGATGAGAGTCGCCTGAGATCAGCATGAGAAGGAGCTCCTCCTTCTTGATCATCAGCAACTGAAGAGGCAAAGTACTGAACTAGAAAAGATGGTCATAGCGTTAGATCTTCCAACTATGCAAGATGTTTGCGAAACAGACGGGCGGGCATCCTGCTGCAAAAAAAAAGCGGGCGTTTTCATGTTGCCAAGTTGCAAGATCTACCGCAGATCGGCATCGTGAAATGCGGAACATCCATGAGGCTCTTGAGAACATTTGTGGGATCATGCCATGGAGTCATCTGTACTAATCGCTTCACGGATCGGTACTCCCCTCCGGTGTGCTCGGTACATCGAGGTCCCGTCGCACAGGTCGCTCCGCGAGTCCCGCGACCCAACAGACCGTTTGGACCGGAACCGGGTATAGTTGGACCCACCTACCAACGACCTTCTCAGAAGGTAGGCCAGGAGCCCGCTTGGGTCAAAAGAGGTAGAGGCATCCTCTACAGCATCCTCTACATCGGACGGTCAGTACAAGGTCCATCGGTTCGCGGCTCTCTGGTCTTATGTAGTCAACACAGTTTGTACCAGGGGCCCCACAAACCATCAAAAAACCTGGTTTTCTCCAGCAAAAAACCTGGTTTTTGTATCTGAAAACCTGTGTTTTTTCATGGTTTTGAGGGGCCCCTGGCCCCTGGTACCATGTAAGTACCCATTTTACCAAGGGCACCAATACGGAGGGTCCGACGCGTCAGATCCCAGGCGTCAGTCTTCATCTCCGGGCCAGGCCAGAAGATGTGGCCATGAGGCCAAGTCATCTGGATCCTCTTTTTGCAGATAGCGGAGGGGCGAAGGAAAAGTTGATCCGTCATCAACCACCGCGTTGTTCATTTTTTACCGCGTTGTTGTAGGAGGTTGTTTTGAACCGGAAATCCTTGACTGACACATGGAATTATTGGTCATATGGAGATCTCCAACCCGTTGGGTTTTGGTCTATTTTGTCCTTTTCCAGGGGGCCGGAATGCCTGGGAGGTCTTCCTATTTGAGCCACACACCCACATGGCTCAGCCACATGGCCCGATCCAAACAGGTTCGGGAGGGTTATAGACATCCCTGACGAGGTCTTTTCCTGTTCAAGTGTCCTGGATTCTTGTGGCTGTTGCGCGGGCATCAAACACAAGTTCCGTGTTTGTTGCGTTGGGTGTGCTGGAGACATCTTCTTTGAGCAAAAGAACAAAGGCAGTTCGTTTCCCATGGTGAAGAAACATGTCATACTGAATCGAAGGACCAAGAACCCCAGGACGATTCTTTTTCAGTGACTGCTCAACTGAGCTCCGCCCTTCGTCTTCCACGAAGACACTCTTATTTTCCATGCACTGACTGCTTGCATGCATTGGGGTTGGCTAGGGTCACCCCAACTGCGGCCGCTCGCAGATCAATTCGTGGCACCCGACGGAGGGTCTCCAGGCTCTTGAGACTCTTCGAGAGATGGGTCTCCGCAGCGGTTCACGGAGTACAGACACTGGAGCGTACGCGCAGCTGGTGGGGTTGAGGATGTTCTGTGCGGTGGACGGCAGGGCCGCAGGGCGCGGCAGGAACGAAGAACACGCATGACGAGGCACGAAACGAAATAGATGTTCGAGCTGGGTAGACTTTGTAAATGGTCTTGACGTCTAGAGTCTAGACATCAAAAACACCAGTATATAGGATATTGTAGGTATACCCAGACATGATCCCTGTTTTGATCGGTAAAGATTATGCTTTTGTGTGGTTAGTTGGTGGTCCAAAATAGAGGTCGCTCAAGTTCTAATAAACTATGTAATATATATATATATATTATATATATAGCATGTATGCCTGCGATTTCCCTACCAATCTTCTCATGCACCTGCCATTCTGCAACTTCGCGCTGGAACACCTTTCCACCCCTTTTGGTGGATCCCTTGTGATCGACTCGCTGGCGAAAACGATGGGACTCGCTGACCGAGGGACGGAGGGACGTCACCGAACGGTGCTGTCGATTGGAGGCTTTCAGCCATCATTGAGGTGTTTTCAGGAACTTGATGGCTTTGATACTCAATGAACACCATGTATCCTTGAACGTTCCTTGACCACCTCAATGATGGCTGAAAGCAAGTCTCCAGTGACATATGGGTGCCAGTCATGTAAGAGTTCCCAATCTGGAACGCCTTTAGAGTTTGTTTTTTGGGCCGTGGTGAAATGTTTGACACGAGCCATAAAGAAAACATGCCGTAATGGCGTCTTTTCAAAAAAAAACCAATGTGTCTTTTTGTTGTGACCATCATGCGGGACATCGGCAGAAACCAACACCGGAACGGCGTCCTTTCCCAGCATCTTTCGCCGTCGGATTTTGAGCGTATGTGTTGCAAGCCCTGAAAATGGCAATGGTCTTTGTTTACGGCTTCTTTTAACTGAAAAATGCCTCCGGCAAAAAGCATTGTGCCGCACATGAAGATCCAGCTATATTCTAGTCGCATGAAGTGTTTGGGGTTGTTTACGGTTTACCTACCAACCTGCATTGACAAGTCGTGTGACACAAATCATCGAAACCCTTTGATTCTTTGTAGCCGCGGTTCCCCGGTCAAGAAGGTAATCCCTGATTTGGCGTTTAGACCTATATCCCATGCATCCCAGACGTCGGATTGACTGGACCCGAAAAAGACATGTCCTTTTCTTTCCCTATGGATCCACAGACCGAACCTGAGAAGCTGAGCAGGGAGACGATTTATGTATACACGCCAGCCAGTCGGGTCCAGTCGTACCGAACCAGGTCGGTGGCAGTGAATCCATAGGGTTTGGTGATGCCAAATATCGTGGTTTCTGAGGTCCGATGGCACTGGCACCCCAAGATGTCTATCCAACAGATGGGGATCCACAGACAACCACCAAACTTGGGGTAACTTGCGCCATCCATCTACTCTCAATCCACTGTATCGTCTTTGGGACTTCCACAGACTGGATCGACTGGTCTTCCGGTCGGGCGTTCTCGACGTCCGGTCGCCCCGGTCGGGAAACACGGCGTCGTTGCATCCGGAAAAGGTGCGGTGGTCAACCGGTTGTTGTTCACAAAGAGCCTGCTTGTTAAAGGAACGTAACATCGAGCAACATCACAAGTGACTTATAGCGAACATGACCATCCCCTTCATTGTCCTGGGTGTTCTGGCTGTAGATCTCGTATCGTAGTAGTAGTAGTAGTAGTAGTAGTAGTAGTAGTAGTAGTAGTAGT